CCTCTCCGCTGGGAGGTGAAGCAGTGCTCAGTTCACCGCTGGGTCCCAGCTTGACCTGGTGGTGCTGGCCTCAGCAATGGCCTCAGCAACCCCAAACGGCATGTTCCTCCCACGCTAGGTTTTTCTATCCATCAAATTTCCAGCATTTTCCTACTGCTAGTCCTCTGAGAGACTGGAAACTTCCAACTTCCAGCAGACTTCCAAAGCTGGAACCTTTTGCTACATATCCACAGCTCCTGTTAGAGCCAGCCAGAGGAGCTAGGACTCCTAATTCTCCTTGGGCATGAAGGAGCACCATCAGTTTATGAGACACTTCACTCTCCACAGACCATATGTCATGCTTTGCCTCCTACACCACTGAGCTTCACTTTCGGTTAATAAAAAAAAAAATCCATTCCAGAGTTAGAAAAATATTGGTGCAGATCTCTGTCCTGGAGCTTTAGATGTCTTCTGAAGACTTAAACAAAATTAAAGAAAATGATCATGATCAGCCCTCCTACTGAAAGGTAGATTTGACATGCTTGCAGTAACCTGCATTGCTTAAGAGATGTGCCACAGCATTCAACAGCAGCTAGAATTTTTCTACAATCATCTCATGACTCACTGTCCAGACATTTTACATGGATGTAGTCTGGATATCAAAAAAAGGATAACTGAAGCCAAGTCAGCCTTCCAGAGTGGGACCCAGTCTTCAGACTATCCAGAGACAGAAGAGAACCTTATTCACAGATACAGCTATGCACAAGCTTTTTTTTCTGTCCAAAGGGCAGCTCGAAGCACTCCCAGATCTCAAAGTAAATGACTGATTTGATGTGAGCTTCAAAGAAAGCCACACCTAAGCTTCAGATCCTCAAAGCCCTTTCTTCGCCTGCAGCATTGCCACTGTCCAGTTTTCATTCAGATACAAACTATTTAGATACTGCTCGAGCCTCAGAAGTCCATGCCACCTCGTCTGCTCACCCGGTAACTGTACAGAGCATGAGACTGTGCAAGGGAGAGCAACAACAGGGCAATGTTTCTTCTTGTGCACATCACCAAGAAACCTCGCTCCTCACTTATATGAGATATCAGTCAACAGCATCAAAACCTGCAGGAACATCTCAGAGGATGAGAATGAATACCAGCTGCTCAATCATTGCCACTAAGGTTATTTCCATCCTGCTGATTCCTGAGCTCTGGACTGTGCTCTGCTGGCAACAGTTGCTTCAGTTAGATGGGCTTATAACTGGCCTTCAGCATGATGAGCTCCTCAGAGCCACCAGACAACTGTGTGCCTGCAGAACAGAACAAAATGTTTACTTCCAGTGACACTTTCTTATTTTAGCCAGAATTAACAACAAGTTCTCCCATGTCTTGTACTACTCAAGACCAGTATAAGTGGACTTACAACTTGACCTGAACCTCCTTGAAGGGCTGTACTCTGGGCATCCAGACACTATTATTTCACTCACATATGAGGGCAGAGGACATGTCCTGCTTGACAAGCTGTCATGGGATAGTTTATCCATGAAGATTCTGTAGTGAGTTGTGGTAGCTGAGGTTAGTAAATGATTCACACCTCTGCATAGCTCCTTTAGACATGATTTGGCAGTTTTACCAAATGCTAATGGGAAAGTTTCCTTGGGTCTGTTAAACAGCCACTCAGGAGAAATTCTTTGTTTCACTTTGTATGCTTTAGCTGTCACCTCTGTAAACATTTCATCCTCTCTGCATCTGGCAGCGGCCTTCACAAATACAGCATTTAACCAGGTCTCTGATAAACAGTCTCACAAGCAGTAAGAAATGTAATAATTACTGATATTTGGTCTGAGTGGAACAGCTTGATCAATGAAGGTGCGTAGGAAACATCCCACAGGGTATTCTTGCATTCTCTATGGCATACTTTTTTCAAGTTTCTTTTCTTCTCTTCCTATTTCTACCAAGGATATTCTGAGTCTCAACCTCAGAACTTTGCAGGTGCACTGAGGCTGGCAGGGAGTCAAGGCCAGTAAGCAGCTTGTATGGAGAAGTGTGAAATAGCACCTGAAACCCACGAGAAAACAGAGGTAATGTCTGAAAAAACAAGCTCCAGCTCCAAGATGAACCCTCAGATTCCAAGAGAAGCGAGTGAGGAGTTGTGTACCTTAATCTGCTGTGCCATCACTGGGACTTATGGCTCAGTAACTGGTTTGGGAAGAAGGATTGAGGCCTCAGATTTCCCCAGGGTTTCTTGATGAACTGATCTGAGCCAGAGCAAACAGAGAAAAGAGGAAGAAACTCCCACAGTTTGTGACCAAGGTGGGCAACATAGCTCCCCATGGATTTGGGAGCCCAACCTGGATGGAGCTATCCATCAGGGACACTATTCTACACATCTGTAAAACACGTTGAAATTCCCAGATGACACTGCCTGCAGTTACCACCACAGCCAAAAGATATCTGCACATTCTTATATGATTCTATTAATCCTTGGAGATTTCCAAATACATATAAACCTAAATATCCGTTGTTTAACAAAGTTCTCCACAGCAAAGAGCTGTATTAATGACAACACCTGAGATAACTGTCAGCAAGAACTCCGGGGCTTGTTCCTTTATACAGGAAGAAGGCAAAACTCGGTTTTCATGTTAACCTGTGAAAGGCTGCCTTTGCGCAGCCTTCAACCTGAAATGACCTTCAAGCCATTTTCACAGCCTTACCTCAGAAGTTGGTGGCAGGTGAGACAGGAAAAGCTTTTTGGAGATTCAGTTAACATGCCCGTGCCCATGTGACTAAGACTACTGAGAATTTTAACAGATACTTCTGCAGTGCTTTCACATGCAGCTCTGTGCAGGAGACAAGTAAACAACAAACACATCCATTTACCTCAGGAAACAAGTCACAGGAAGGGGTAGGATTCAATAACAGAGTAGACCTTCCAAGTCCTGCATACGCTGATGCACCACAACCTGTGCTGTTCTACCTATAGTCTTAAGAACAGGGCACAGAGAAGGTGTTGAATTCTTCCAAAAAGCAGATTCCTTAACAGGTATCTGGGAACTCCTAGTATTTCCTCATCCCTTGTAAAACTGCACGGAAAACTGCCCCACCTGCAGCTTCCACTGCCTGCAAAACGCAACCAGGGCACATCCTTACTATGCCATTTACTACCACAGAGCCTACTGGTTCTGCTCGGAATGGATAGCTCCATGAATACAATTTTACCAGTGTTACAGCACATGGCTACAGAACTGAGCGAGATGCAGTGAAGAGCCTTACCTGCATTTGCCACCTAAATGTATGGCATGTAAATTAATGCAGCCCATGGGGCACCCTAAGTTACATGACTCACGTTCCTCCCATGGCAAATCTTAACAGATTTTTTTTTTTAATCACCTTAATAAATAGTCTTCAAGGAGTTTTGCTACAGGCTTAATCTGTGTTTAATTTAGTTGTTTGAAAATTACCCCTGTGTATGGGCAAGCTTTGTGAAAAATCTCTAGAAAACGCAGCTAAATATTTTGTTTACCTTACGCATAACAAGAGCAAAGGGAAGCAATTTCTTTATTCTGGTCTCATGCTGTGAACACTCAAATGCACAGCTCTAGAGTTCTGGATTCAGCCCTTCTAAGTCTTTGCCCTTCCTCACTATTTTAGGAGATTTTTTGAAAAAAAAATGTTTAGAGTTTCCCTTAACAATCTATGAAAGCTGTAAGATACAATGGCTTTACTACTATGCAAGGACATTTAAAAGGATTAGCTGGGCAAAGTCTAAGTTTTGCAGTGAAAAAAAATATCCCTTTTCTTAAGTTATGGAAGAATGCTGAAAAATGAAAAACAGTAACAGCATCCAGTCCAGTGCAGGAGAAGCTTGCAAATAGGGTAACTGCTTTTTTTAATTCTAACTCTGAAATGAGTAACTAAATTCTGTTCTGAGCTTTCAGAGACAATATGCCTTGAGAAGCATGTCAAAAAAGAAAACACAGTGCATGGGAACAAGATTAAAAATGAATAAATATAACAGGCCTTGCAAAATATGTCCGCTTTACTTGTAATAAAGGGCTAGGGGTGAAACATTTTGCATATATTTTTCTACTTAAAAAAAGAGCAGGAATCATTAATATATGTCTGACAGGGACTGGAAATGCAGCCTGCTGACATGGCGGAGTCTCACTGGGGCTACACTTAAATTCTGCTAAGTATTAACAAATGCCTAAATAATGCACAGAGTTCAGGGGTGCATAATACATCTTGTTATAAAGAGCACCTGTTGAAACCATACTGACCCATAGTTTAAACATTTTCTACAATTAAAACACCTAAATCTAGAGGCCACCTGTTTCTTGCCTTTGCCCTCCTCTGGTGCCTTATGTCTTACTGTAAACACAGGTGAGCAAAATAAGATACTGTTTGATCGCAGAGGAATTTGCAGCTGAAATACGGGCCAGAAGTTTTTGACTCCCAGCCCCTTAATTAAAACTAATGAGAGAAGCAGCATCCTCTTTTCCCCTCCGAGTTGCAAGGTACTTACATGACAATTCCCCTATCAGGTTGGGAGAGCAGCCATCCATCCAGCAGTTTGGCAGTAACCAGTACCAGATGTTCCAGGGAAGGCACAATAAAATGCAGAATGAACAAGGATGAAGCAAATTCCCATTCTTTTTTGCATTTTCCCACTGGTCAGTGGGTAACAGACATTGTGTGACATGTCGCATTGCAGGATCTGGTTCTGCTGTTCAGAACCTTGCCAAAAAGCTGTCCAGATTGCTGGCTGGCCACACCAGCCCCTGGAAGAGAATGCTCTGCAGAGGAAACCCGTGCTGACAAATACCGACCATCTAAAACTCTGCTCCTTGTAAGAAGCAAGCACAGCTTTGACTTTGCCAAGTGGGGAAGGAAACTTGTTCCTCCCGCTTACAAACTTCTTTGGAGGACCTGACATTGCACTGAAGTTGCAGTGAGAGGAACAGAATATTTATTCAATTCAACAGAAGTATACAAAGATTCCTGAAAGACAAGAAACACAAAGCCTGTTTTCTTACTACCTACCACACTGATGGGCTCATGAACCTGAAAGCAAAAAAGTAGCTAGCTCCAACAGAGAAAAAGAGCAGACTTTCAATGAGTTTCAATTGAACTAAGAGAATACATTTTTTTCCCTCATTTTTCTTTCGAGCAGTGAGAAGATTTCATCGTATATTTTAATGCAAATGTAAGTACAGCCACTTACTGAAATAAGGTGCAGTTATAATACAATAATGAACGGACTTACAGCATCTCTGCACAGAAACTGGTAATAGCATCAAAAGGATGGTAAGCCTTGGGACAGGAACAAACACTTGCTAGCAATTAATGTTGACACCATAAAAAGCATCCTCTGCTGAGCAGTGTCTGAGCCAAGTGACAAGGAAAACAACCTGTTACAGCCCTCTAGTTAAGGGTAGATAGTGCATTTGAACAAAGATTATAGGCATCATTCTTTTCTTGCTGTCTTTTTGTGTAATATCACAATTGTTAGAAGGTTACTGATCCATATGCCAAAATCTGAGAGCAAATTCATACTTCTGAATTTGCCCTTTGAAAAAGAGGACTCTAGAGAAAATCAATACCAGCAGTCACAGCTTTTGGTGGTTTCTTTACAATTCCAAAAGGCTATGTTTCCCCTGCTTCCCATTGCTTCTTGGGAAGTATTTGAAATTATGTTATAAATTAAAGATTATTAAAAAAAAAAGGTTTCAAAATAACTTAATTGTTATATTTATCAGGGGCAAATTTTGCACTGAATATTAAATACTATCCTTAAAGCCATTTGGTCATACAGAGAGCAACTACATACATTTAGAAAAGCAAACATAGTTATATTTCAAAGTGCTACTGAGATTAGAAAATAAATCATCAGAGGTAAACAATATTTTCCTCTACTCTGTCTTCACTTTCTGCATCCTGCTGGCTCTCCGGCTGGTGGTTCAAGAGCACATCTGCTCGCAGGGGATGGATGGATCCATGGTTTGGACTGTCTTTTTGAGCTTCTGATGCATTTAGATCTGCAATGCACAAGAGAGAGCCATGTCAAAATCCACCTTGTTCAATGCCCCTGCACTCACAAAGAGCAAATACTAATCAGCAGTGTGATAAAGCATAGTTATTTCCTAGCATACAGAAAGGAAAACGGGTATAAAGAAATACGCTAAAGCCTAGAGAAAGGTGTCTTACCTAAAATTACTGAAAAATGTTACAGTCCTTTTGCTGTTATCCAACTGTATGGATCAGCAGCATTATATCTGCAATAGTACTAAAAGCACATGTAAAATGACCTATAAAGGTGTTTTATACTCATACTTTATTAACCAGACACACACTAATGGAAAGGCATAAATACTATAAGAGTTGTGCTGGAGGGCAGCACAGAGTACATCATTATCCTTTATTAGTAAGATAACTCATTTGTAAAATTAATACAGTGTCCAACGGTACATAAAATTTACTTGCAAGACCTTTTTTTCTTTTTTTTTTTTTTTGTGGATGAAAAAGAATCAAGAGAGTCTCTGTTAAGTCCCCCTGACTTGCACTCGCAGTCTGTAATAGCTGTATAATCATTCCAACTTTCTCTGCCAAGACTATCTGTGTTAGTTCAGGCAAATCACCTACTTTATTTCTTGTTTCAGTCCTCTATGTGTGAAGATAACACTTGCTCCCAAAAGCTAATAAATTATTGCATGAGGATTTTCATTTGTTAGCTTTCAGTTTTTCTCCTTCAAATGGGGAAAGCGGAATCATAAACTTCTTTTTCCGAGTACTGCTTTGAAGGTTTTGCTGTCATCTGTGGGTTACTCAAAAACAATAACCGTGGTTGGCTTCTTTTATTACTCAGCTTTCTGTACCACTTCAGGCCCTCAGGAACTATTCTATAGCTGGCATTTCTGCAGCTTTATTTCTGCAAAGCAACATCTACCAGAATAGCAAGTTGCGTAAGAAGGAAGCATGCATCATCCTCCTCAGGCAAGAGCAATGACTGCCTGCCATGGACAGGGCTGCCGTGCTCCTTTCTTCTGACTGTAATCCCTACCCAATCTATCTCTGCTCTTGCTTCAGGAGGGTCAACTTCTCACTCTTAACTCTGTAAAAGTGACTGAGTAGAAAGAAGCAGAGCTGGTCAGCTCTCCCACAGCCAGCAGGGGTAATGCCTGAAGCCACCAAACCCAGCAGCGGGGCTCTTGGAGCCCCTTGTCATTCATGCAGAGAAGTAGAAAGTCATTTTGTGCCTGCCTTGCTTCCTAACTCTTCTTGCAGATGCACATGCAAGCAAAACCTAGCATAAAGGAGATGCTTGTTTTCACACATGCTGTCACTCTAAACAGGAGCAATTTAAAATGACACCTAGCCACACTTTGCATTTCCCATGCAGCTTTCCCCAGTCTTGTTCACTGAGGTTCACAGCTTAAGCAAAACCAGTTTGCTGGCACCCATCAGAGACCCCTGCCACTGGGCACACGGCGTGGTGGGAGATGAGTATGCGACAGGTCCATGAGAACATATCGTATCAGAGCCTCTGCTTCCAGGGCGCTCTCCTCTCTGACAGTCACACGGCCGAGGGCAGCACGCAGGCGGCAGCGGGTTGGCTTCCGGTATAAAAGGAGTATTTGCTGTGACTGCCCCTGAGGTTGCCGGGTCTGTGCCAGGGGCACAGCAGATGTATGCACGCAGTGCTTGGTCATAATGGAGTGACACAGTATGCAAGAAAAAGAAACCCAAATTCCCCTTCTTTTGTTTTACATTGGATTGAAAGGATTGTGTTTTGCTCTCAGTGAAAATCCAGCTATGTCTTCACTGCAGGTGAGTTACTCTGGATCTGCAGGTTTCGACTCTAGAATATACCTGAATAGCCCTTCTTTGTTAAAGTTAACATTTGCATTTATTTCTTTTTCACAACTATATTAGAAAGGAGATTGCAGTTTGGAGACACAGGCTCAAGAAACCAGAAATATCCTATGTCTGCTCTTCTTTATGGGCAATGTATACTTTGGGTTTATTTATTTATTAAAAAGAGCACTACCGGTGAAAGGTCCTCATCCTCTGTGTACTTAAATTTCAGGGTAATTTTACCCACACTAATATTCTTTATAAGTCCTATGAGTCCATTTACCTTAACAAAGTTAAGTGCATTGCAATACCAGGCAGTAAGAACTTATGTGAAAGATCTATTTCCAAAGAGCATGAAGCACACAATCAAAGATGCCTAATTACAAATTTGGAGGGGAAAAAAAAAAAAAAAAAAAAAAAAACAGAAACACAGAAACACCTCACATGTAGTCATTTTCTACCATCAAAACTAACCTGTAATTGCTCTACCAATTAGAACAGTAGCTGTTTCCAAACCATTTCTCATTAACTGTAACCAGTTGGAGAAGCAGAGCAAAGTAATGGAAACCAATAGATCTGGGTGAAAAAGAATCAGATTCTGTCAGTATTGAAATGAATGATTTACAACTAGCTTAGCTGCTTTTCTACCTTTCCTGTTCTGTTGCATTAAGAGAGCCTGAACAGTAGGAGAGAACCTGGGAGGTGACAGCCGTTATTCCCGGAGTGAAAACGGCTTCTGGGGCTGGAAATGTTCTGCTGCACCCGACAGACGAGGGCACGCGCTGTTTCTGGCCGCGTCTGGGTGGCACAGGAGCCAGGCTGTGCCTAATGAAAGCCCAGCGTGTCGCCCGGCTGCCTGGACGTGGGCAGGGTGCCTGCTCTCTCATGCTTCACACCACGCTGTGGGCAGCCCAGCCCGGACACCAGCTGGTCCCGTGTAGGCAGCGATGCTACGACGGGAGCAGCTGCTCCAGCAGGGATGGAGAAGTGCCCGGAATTGGTAATCAGAACCTCAGGTGAGGGCAGAGGGGAGGAGAGGGACCTGCTGTATGGTTAGGGATACATCAGCGTGGGCTCTTGTTATACAGAGCTTCCACAGCTGCCAAGAAGGCTTCCCTGAGATCGCTGTCACGTTGCTGCTGTGCCCGTGGCACGGGCTGCCCTCGGAGCTCAATGTGATACTGAGAGAAACCCTCCTCACTAAACACTCTTCTAAAACAGGGAGGAAACCTCCAGCATCAGGCTGGAAAGTATCAGCTGCTGCCTACTAAACAACTCCCAACAACTGAGTATGCTCAAACTTCCCCCATCAGAAAATAATTATTTAGGAGCTCATGCAAAGAGTGGGGCAGAGAACAGCTGGCTGATGGGGCTTCTGCTAAAGGAGACTGCCTGGAAGCACCTAATATTCATCAGAAACTAATGGGACCCAAGGGTAGCACAGGGGATACACCAGCAACCCCTCACCTCAGGCTTCTTTGCAAGCCTGGTTTCTGCAACATTGTGATTGAGAGCAAGAACTTGATCCTTATTTACATGGCCTGTAATCCATTCATGGGCCTCCTTTCTTACCACCCTTCCCCTAGCAGTGCCAGCCACCAAAGAGTCTTGCGCTCCTCCCTTTCCTACTCACTTTGCCATGTACTGCTCCCTCCCCTCTCCTGCTGGCGGAGCTGCCCGGTGCTGCCCGCGTGCTCAGCTCAACAGCGCGCCCAGCAGCCCGGCAGCCCCCGCATCGCCAGCGCCACCCTGGGCCCTCATGGCCTGCCCTGCGGCACAGGGGCCTCGAGCTCCTCCGGTGCCCATGGAGCCGCCATGGGCCCTCATGGTCTGCTCTGCGGCCCTGCTGCCTCGTGCTCCTCCGGCGCCCACGCGCCACAAGGATGAGCGGAGACGGCCGGGCCCGCCCGCACCATTCCGCCCTGGCACCCGGGCTACACAGTTCTTAATTCACATTCATACAAGTGCAGGAAACACTGGCAGGCAATGAAGGTTGAAGGACGCTGGGGTAAAGGCCGCCCGGGAGTCTCCACAGGCCTTCAGATCTCCTCAATGCCAGCAGTGGCCAAGGCGGTGCCTCCGTCAAGGCTCCTGTGCACGGCTGTTCAAGCATCAGAGGGATGTGTTTGAGGCCAGACACAAAGTACCAAGTGAGCTCATTACATGTTTTACATGTTACATGTAAACATGTCTTGGGGCCAGGTAGCCAGAGGAGCCCAGCACTGCCACACCACAGCAAATAATGTCACTTAATCCCAGCTTTTCCTTATTTCCTCAGCTCAGGCCATTTCAGAAATGATTATACAAAAAAATTAGTGATATTTTGGATTTTTTTTCCCCTCAATTACTTCAAAAGGATTTAAGAGGCTGCTTCAACCAAATTCTGAGGGAAAAAAAAAGAAAAGAACTGTTTCAAGCACACAGACACATACTGCCAAATCAAATATTAAAGATGAATCCAAATTTTGCCTTGTTTTCCATAAGCATAGCACTAGCATTATAAGAACAGGTAACAAGCAACTGCACAAGAACAGTTTAATACCACAAAAAGCAACGGATATGTAATAATAAGGGGCAAGCTGTATAACTGAAGCATGCAGACAAGAGTTTCTAAGGGCACTTCTGCTCTCAAAGTGGTGTCTTGGTCCAGATTTGAAAGATCTATCACCTATTGACTAAAAACATGCTAATATAGTGCTGGTAAATGAAACAAAAAGTAGCACTATGCAACCTACTGCCTTACCCATGCCTTTCCATGCACCAAGACACAGGATTTGTGGCACAGTATAAACTTGACAGAAGGAAAGGACAAAGCGATGGAATTTGCACAAATCTGAAATCAATACGCACCCAAAGCAAACACAGCCTTGCTCCTGGAGGGGGAAGTGGGGCCCAAGAGCTGAGTAAACAACTAATTAGTCACACTGGTTCCCTCCTGTGGCTGTTGTCAGAGGATGTAAGCATTTCCACATCAAATAAATGCCACAGCTTTTCTCCTTCATCCCCTTCCCTCGAGAATCTGAGCTCTTCAGGTAAGCCTGGAGATGATTACAGCAAGGATAGGAAATACTCCGTCCAATAAAACTCACTCAAGTGTCTGTGTTTTGAATATAAAGCCCTGAGCCTTTTTTCCTCCAGCTCTAACCCTAATATGACAGTATTATAGGCAGGTTGGAAGGGATTT